TTTATTGACAAAAAAATAAGAATTAAAATTGTATCTACCTTAATACTTTCATATATGTTTAATATGAACAACATACAAATGTGGAGAAAGGACTGTGGCATCAAAAGTGATAAAACATTCTGTATGTGAAAAAAAATTATGATGCTAAAAAAAACTAACTTATTGTAGTAGTAATTAAGGGAGCCTGGATACAATTAAGTACAGGAAGGATATTAAAACTTCCAAAAGATATTTCTGTAAGCCACAACAGAGGAGTAAGAGCAACAGAATAATTGGAACCACATCCAAACCCACTTCCTAGTTATTTACCAATATCAATGACGTTAGACAATCTTGAGTACACAACTTTAAATTATATTAAGAATAAAAAAAATCAAAAGAATTTTATGACAAGGGTTAAAAGTTTATAGCCTTGAAACTACAAAAAAAAAATTGGTGCCCACTACAAACCACATCCCGGGAATTGTCATGTCTCTACAATGAACTACTTGAAATGGTTTTGTTGTGGTTGAGGCAATCATCTCTGAGTTAATAATTAGCTACTATTCAAATCAAATGTAATTTGTCTATTGTACACTAGATCACTTTTAAAAGAAAGAGCACAAAATTTCATTTTTAGCAACGAACATTAAATGTTATAATCATCCATTTGTCATCCTATGAAATGCATCAAAAAAGTAGAAAAGTATGTTTTTTACCACTGCAGGAAATCACAGTCATTTTCCAGCCAGCTGAAATTAAGTTCAAATGTTATCTGTTTAATACAGGCGGAACATTTATCGTAAAAAAAGAGAATGTATAACAGTGAAGTTTCCTTTTTGCTACTTTGAAAAGTATCTAGAAATAGTACTCATTTGCATAAAACAGATTTTAATCAATTTTTGATTTGGTTTTTGCATCTGGAATCTATAAATGTTATCTTAAATTGAAAGACAAAGGTTAGTCAGGATTTTCCTATTATGAAAAGTTATAATAATTATCGCAATAATTGTATCAAAAGCAACTTTATAATGTCAGCACATTTCTAACCCTGTGAATTTTTTCAAGAATATTTAAAATCTCTAGTCATTGGCCAGTGCCACGGCTCACTTGGCTAATCCTCCGCCTGCAGCGCTGACACCCCTGGTTCTAGTCCCATTTGGGGCGCTAGATTCTGTCCCAGTTGCCCCTCTTCCAGGCCAGCTCTCTGCTGTGGCCCAGGAGGGCAGTGGAGGATGGCCCAAGTGCTTGGGCCCTGCACCCGCATAGGAGACCAGGAGGAAGCACCTGGCTCCTGGCTTCGGATCGGCGCAGCGCGCTGGCCGTAACAGCCATTTGGGAGGTGAACCAATGGAAAGGAAGACCTTTCTCTCTCTCTCTTTCTCACTGTCTAAATTTGCCTGTCAAAAAAAAAAAAAAAAATCTCTAGTCATCAAGAATATTTTCTTATTTACAAAGCATTTTTATTAGATCCTTGAAGCAACCCTCCTTATTAGTATAGTGAACATCTGTAAATTGCTTCCCCACCATCCATTTTCACCTCTTCTCACCAAACTTAAAAATTTTTAAAAAAACAAAACATTCACCATTCTCTTGGTGAACCACCTCTCTCCCAAGCTCAGCAATATATTTTGTGTGAATTAATCCCATCCCCAGGATAGGGATGATTTAAACCAATCACCATATTCTATCTGTCAGGACCCATTAACCAATTTTGGAATGGCCACTTAGCCCAATGAAATAGTGGTCTTGTCTTCTAGGATGTCTAGGAAAGAGAACTTCCTTTTTGTTCCATGTCAATTTTAAGATTTTTAAACCTTCTTGAACACTATGGTGTAAGAATGTAATATCTGCAACCAGAAATACTACAAGTTCAGCTCCATATAAGGAAGAATGAAAATGGAAAAGGGAAAAGGCAGAGAACAAGGAAGAAGAGTGAAAACAGGAAAATAAAATAAACAAGTGAGAAAGAAACGGAGGAGAAAGCAGGTGTCCAAGCTAAAGACACACACTGGAAAATTAGGGCAAGTCCAAAGACCAACGTTGGGGCTTTCAAAGATGGAGAAAAGAAAGTTTGAGCTGCAGTGGCTTCAGGAAATAAAGTTTTTCTTACCACCTAGTGCCATGAACTTCAGACTTCAGCATAAATTATTACCCAATGTAATAATTCAAACATTTCTATTACTATTCACAGCCCAGGAATAGTTTCATAGGAAAATGAAACGCAGTAGGGATGTGAGGAACCAGCATTCTTGCTGTGACTCTGTGGCTCCAACAGATCAACCTCTCTTAGCACCTTAGTTTCCTCAAGTAAAATGGGAATAAAAATTCCTTCCCTACCTACTATACTTACTATACCTCAAGTACTACTGTATCATATAAAATAGTAGATGTGAAAGTGCATGGATATAAAATAAATCATACTGGGTTTTATTAAAAGATAATGAGTCTAAATGCACAATAATTTTACCAAACTGTGACTGAGTTAAATACAGTAGAACAGGCCAAAGCCCTGCTGTGTCCGCCAAATGCAAATTGAGCTGTTTTTCAAGTACTTAACCTAAGTCAATAGTTTTCTACCTTTTTCTCAGCTCCTGTAGCACATCCAAGGGTCATGAGACTTTTCCATTGTTAACAGCAATGCTCCCACTGATCTCAAAAGACTGGAAAGACTGCTATTAAAAACTAGTAGGCTGGGAATGGAGGACAGCACGGTAAGCAAAAGCAAACACCATCTTGCCTTCATGGAACTAGTCTTAAAGAGAAACATGGACGATAAATACATACACACATACACATATCAAAAATAACTGCAATATATATCTGCATGTGTGTGCATGAGATTGCACTCATTGTGCTCTCACTTTTAAACAGGTCTGTCTCCTCCAAATCACCTCAAAGAAACAACCGTCACATGGTGAATCACTGGTTAGGTGCTATAAAAGAAATACACTCTATAACACTCTACAAGAGAACTTTTTCCAAAGCTAATTAATATTTGAGGTATAAATAAAGCAGTCTAAGTAGAGATCAGGAGACCTTAGCAGAGTTCCAGCTCCAGGACATGCAATTTAATTTGTGAGACCTGATACAAAATGAAAAATTTAGGTTCCATGTTCAAAAATTATGAACCATTTGAATGTCGTGACACCAGAACACTTAAACTAAGCCCAGAACCCTCTACAACTGCACAGGTCACACCCTTGGGAAACTATCATGACTTCCATATTTACTGGATGTGCAATTTCTATCCAGTCACTTAACCTACCTCAGGCTCCTTACAAATATAAAACCAGAGGAGGAAAGAAAAAAACCTTGAGCTCTGTCCCATAACTAACATCTGTGGTTCTCTGTTAAGGAGGGAGCTCCCTTATTTGAAAAGAGTTGTTTTACCCTTTTATATAACCATTAAAATTCTAAGGGTGACACAACGTTACTATTAACAACTCATACACAGTGTTTTACTTTCACCTATATTGATAATTTTCATTTCTATACACCTCCTTAATTTTAGCTAAGAGAAAAAATATCTGCAAAGCAGTGTTCCAAGTTTACTATTTTCCCATGTATGCCATTTAAATCTGAAATTCCCAACTGAGGTCTCTATGTCTAGATAGTAATTTTTCCCACAGTAAAATGTCTCCTTGTACAAATTAGATATTTTCCTTTTCCTAACCCTGAAAAATTATCTATGCAGAATCAACTTCCACATATGGTATAGCATCTGGGTCTGATCCAATAAAAAGGAGGGCAAATGTCATTCTGAGAGTGAGTTAACTCCTTCATTCCATCAATTATGTATTTTGCCCAATATAACTGATAACTATCTAAATGAGGAGTTCTTACTCCAGGGTCCATGGACAGAATTCTGGAAATTAATTAACTTGAGTGAAAATATATATATATATATTTGACAACCTTAGCATTTTCTTCAATTATAAATGTAGGGGCAGGCCTAGCAGGTAATCTCCTGGCTTCACTGTAGCTTCTTGCTTATGTAATTATAAATGTAGGGGCAGGCATTTGGCCTAGCAGATAAGATGCTGGTTAAGATGCCCACATTCCATACTAGAGTGACTGAGTTTCAGTCCTGGCTTCACTGTAGCTTCTTGCTTATGCAGCAGGTAATGGCTCAAGTACTTGGATCCCTGCTATTCATATGGGAGACCTGGATTGATTTCCTGGCTCTTGGCTTTGGCCTAACCCAGGTCCCCACCATTGTAGGCATTTAGGAAGTGAACCAACAGCTGGAAATTCTCTCTCTCTTTCCCTCTCTGCCTCTCAATTACATAAATATTTTTTTATTTAGAACATAGGCAACAAACCATAACAGTATTAACAATACCTATGATTTGGTCACAATAACTATTATATATATTTTCTATATCACATTACAGTTATTCAGATATCTTCAAGTACCATTTATATTCAACACTAACTCAAAATTGTAATAGTACAGACCTACTGCTAGATCTTGTAGTTTAACATGTTAGTAAAAATCACATATATTATTATAACACAAAATTTATTTTTATATTAGAATAACTAATATAGAACTGAGTAGAACTGGCTTCCCTTGTAATCTTATGTATTTCATTTCATGCATTTAAAAACATGACTCCAAGGCAAGGTTCACACACTTCATCAGACTACCAAAGGCATAAAAAGGCATATACAAAGGCATATAAAAAGAAGAAACTCTAGTCAAAAGAAGTTACAGCGCTTATGAGACAATAAAATTGAACCAACTATACTCTTGTCTTACAATTAATAATAGATTCATTCTAGTATATATAATCTTTAAAATTCTAGTTCAGTAATATCTACATTACAACAAAATCTTCATGGCCCATTTATTTTAATACAACAATAAACCATCAAAATAGAGAAGTTTTTGTTGCTTTGTATGAGTTTTTGTTTTAACTGTTTTTGTATATACTACCAGGGTATTTGATCTGAAAATGAGCAACCCAGATTCATGTTTTTTAGACAATTATCTAAGATATAGTTTAGATCAGTACCTGAGTTGATAGTAGGTTACAATCAATGAACATGCCTTTTCCAGTTTTATATCTTTGTATCAAACCAGCCATAATGGCTCCATATGCATACAGGCCAGTGGCAAGGTCAGTCATGGCTACTCCTGGACGAACTGGAGCTCCATCCTGTTTGAGGATTGGATTGAAAAAAAAAAAAGAGAAAATTGAAAATTAAAACCATCATATAATTTCTCAAATATTCTAAGCTCAAAGAAAAAAAAGAACTGTATATAAAGTGGTCAGACACACACAAAAATAAACAAATTTCTATTGTGCATATTTATTTGCAACAGGAATATACTTATATTTATAGTATATTTGTCACTGCATTTCTCTCCTCAATCCCTAGTAACCAAAGTAAATCAAACTAATGAAATAAAAGATTTTTAAATTAACCATTTATTTATTTATTTGACAGGCAGAGCAATAGAAGAGAGAGAGAGAGATTTTCCATTCACTAAGTTACTCCTAAGTGGCCACAACCATCAGGTATGGGCCAGGCTGAAGCCAGAAGCTTGGAACTCCATCCAGATCTCCCATGTTGATGATGGGAACCCAAGTACTTGGGACATTTTCTGATGCCTTCCCAGGCACATTAGTAGGAGAATGATTCAGAAGCAAAGTAGCTGGGACTCAAACCACACCCTAATATGGGATGCTTACATCCCAAGCAGTGGCTTAATCCAATGCACTACAACACCAGCCACAAAATGAAAGATATTTTAAAACACATATGAAGTTCCTCCTTAATATATTTTGCATTGTTTATTAAATAATTTATTATTGCAATGTTTATTAAATATTGTTTATTAAACAAGTTTATTACATTTATTATTTAAATTTATTATTAATCTGGTGAGGAGGAAGGAGTTAAAGCAATATTTTTTTCCTGTTAGGTGATAGTCTCTTTGGGGGAGGGGAGGAAGACAACAGAAGACCTGGTCTAATCTTTTCACAATTATGCTAATAGCTGGCAAATATATTAAGGGGATTTGCTTTAGAAAAAAAAAAAAAATTTATCCTTAAAGGGATTTTTCAGGATAGCTTTGTTTAGGATAATGATGATAAACAAACATAGAATCAACAGATTTGTAAAACAATGCACATAGGGCATGAGCTATACTACTTTCTTTATATAAAATGGAAAAGTTTCTGGCCTATAATGTTTATTTCTGCATTATACAGCCTACATACTTCATTAAGGATCTTATCACTGCTCTGGGATCAAAAGTTTTATCTATTGTGGTAAGAAAGGATCTGAGGGCCTCTCAATGTCTGGGACGTCTCTCTAATTCTCTTATGCATTTTGATTGATTCAATCCTTGAAATTATAAATTAAGCTTAAAACTGATTAACATCTGTAATTCATGTGGGTCTGATTTGACAATTCAATCATTGACCCATATTTAAAGTATTATGGTTTGAATAGGATTTGGTTCTCCAAAACTCATGTAGACATTTAAGCCCCAAAGTCTTAAGTTCATAGTTAATGCATTAGTGTTAACGATTGATAGAATTAAGGGATAGCGATTTGATCTAATTACAACACCAGAGTGATGAGCCTAGTGGGAGGTCTTGACGTCATTAGGTACTTGCCCTTGAAAGGTAGTTCCACAAGACAGTAAGTTATTTAAGCCAAGTCTGGCCTAGTTTCACTCTGCTTTCTAGATCACCAAGTGATCCTCCCACCACACGTGTTCTGTCATCAGACACCAGCTTAATGGGGCTGCCAAATCCTGGAATGAGAATTTCCAAACTCTAAATTGAAATAAATCTTATTCATTTCTAAGAAGCTCCTCTCAGGCATTTTAGTTAAAATAACAAAAAATAACAAATGTTGACTAATCCAAAAGGATATTAGAACTCTGCTTGACGCACAATAATTTATCTAAAAAAATTAACTATCAAAATTGTCATCAATATTATCATCAGTGTTTGCTATGTCAAATAGTTTCTTTTCACTATCATGAATTCTGCTCACCATTCATTGCACAGAAAATCTAACAACTTAAATTTCACATTTCATCTTGTTGACAGATTAATTCATTTACCTCATTTTCACAAACTAATTTTTCCTATACTACTGCCCAATCATAAGCCATTTTAATCATTTTCCAAGGGTATTAAATATTGTTAGGAAAATGGTGCAATTTTATCTATGGTGCAGTCTATACCCTGACACCATCCTAGGCTCTAGCCCCCCCACCATAGTTGGAAGCCCAGTGATCACATGGCCCAACCACTGTTGTCAAGCTCCACCCCCATCCTAATGGGATTCGCTGTTCCTGCTTCCCTGTCCACCCTCCGGCAAAGTTTTAAAAGGGCCTGTTCCTGAACACGTGGCTCTTTGCTCTCTCTAGGCTTCTTTCTCACTCCCCTCTCTCCTCTCTCTTCTCTCTGCTCTCTCCTGCTCACTCTCTCTACTCTTATATCTCTCCTCTACTCGCTATCTCCTCTTCTCTCTCGCTCTCTCCTTCTCTCTCTCTATTACATTCTCCTTCTCCCTTTTTCCTTCCTCGCCCCTTCCCTCCGGCCTACTGGGTTTTCCCCAATAAACCCTTTCCCTTACTCCGGTGTCTGGTGTGTTTTTGTGGCAGCCTTACAAATATAGTCAAAAATAAATGAGACTATACTGTAGCTAAACTTCTCTGATTTTCAACACAATTTCAAGGATGATATTGCCATAAAAGTTGAAAATGTCCAGCAGCTTCCTATTATTATTGTGAAGCTTATTATGCAATGACTTGAATTAGTAAATTAAAATTACATTTGTCAGGAATGGGTGTTTGACACTAAGACATCACTTGAAATGTCTGCATCATCCCATATTGGAGTGTATGGGTTCAAGTCTTCCCCTCTCCCTCTCCCTCTCCCCCTCTCTCCCTCCCTCTCTCCCTTTCATATAAATAAATATAAACAAATATGAAATGTTTTAATTAAATTTTAATTAAATTAATCATTGGATTTAAGATTACTTAATGCATTAAAAATGAAAACAATTTCAAATTTTTATATGTATGAAATAATGAAAGAAAATCACTTATGTCCCTTTAGAAATAAAAATATTTAAAGGATTATATGGAAATATTATAACCAAGTTTATGCCAAAAAATTAGATAACCTAGATGAAATGAACAAAAGAACAATTCCTAGAAAGATATAAACTACTGGAAATGACTAAAGAATAGGGAAAAAAAACAAAAACACATATATCAATTAGAGATCCTGGGTTAGGAACAAAAACAACACAAGCTGAGATCCTTTTTTTTTTAACTGCTAAAGGTGAATACTACTACACATTTTAAAAATTTACACTAATTTTTCAAGAACTCTTCCAAAAACTGGAAAAGCAGGAAACACTTCTCAACTCATTCTATGAAGCCAATATTATATAACAAGCCATCTAAATATATGAAAAAATACTGTCTGGACCAATATCTTTTATAAATGTAAACACAAAGTATCCTAAACCAAATACTAGTAAACTCAATACAGCAATATATAAAAAGTATTATAGGTCATAAACAATTTGGATTGAATATGGCTGATTTAATATTTGAAAATTCAGTATAACACTATATAATTAGAATGCAGATAAAAGCAACAAGATCACCTCATAAGACATGAGTAAGATCATCTCAAATGCAGAACAGGCATTTGATAAAACTCAATCTTTTTCATGCTAAACACCAAACTGGGAAGAGAAGTGAACTTATTTAACCTGCTAAAGAGCATCTGTAAAAACTCATAGCAGCTAATATACTTAAAGATAAAAGACTAAACTGTTTTTCTCTAATATCTGAAATAACACAAAGATGTCTTGTCTCACTCTTTTGATTCAACATTATATTAAGGTTTTACCTAGTGCAGATAAGGAAGGAAAAGAAATCTAGACTGTAAAGAAAGAAGTAAAACTGGGGCTGACACTGTGGCTTAGAGGGTAAAGCTGCCACCTGCAGTGCCAGCATCCCATACGGGTGAGAATTCGAGTCCTGGCTGCTCCACTTCCAATCCAGCTCTCTGCTATGACCTGGGATAGCAGTAGAAGATATAGAAGATAGCCCAAGTCCTTGGGCCCTACACCCGCATGGCAGACCCAGAAGAAGCTCCTGCCTCCTGGCTTCAGACTGGCTCAACTCCAGCCGTTGTGGCCATTTGGGGAGTGAAACATCAGATAGAAAATTCTCTCTCTCTCTCTCTCTCTCTCCCTCCCTCTCTCTCTCTCTCTCTACTTTTGCCTCTCTGTAACTCTGCCTTTCAAATTAATAAATAAATCTTTAAAAAAAGAAGAACAAGTAAAACTATATTTGCAATGACCCATTTTGCATTTGGGAAATCTCAAAGAACTCATTAAAAAACTTAAAAATAATCACAAAGTGAATCAAGATTATAAGATATGACAATATATGAAAATTAATTTTATTTTACACAGTAACAACTAGCAAACCAAAATTGAAATTAAAAAGAAAGCAATTCCATTTAAAATAGCATCAAAATGAGTAAGCGGGGCTGGCGCTGCGGCGCAATGGGTTAAAGCCCAGCCTACAGCGCCGGCATCCCATATGGGTGCCTCTTCGAGTACTGGCTGCTCCTCTTCCAATCCATCTCTCTGTTATGGCCTGGGAAAGCAGTAGAATATGGCCCAAATCCTTGGGCCCCTGTACCCTGGCTTTGGATCAGCTCAGCTCCAGCCCTTGTGGTCATTTGGGGAGTGAACCAGCAGAATGAAAGACTTCTATCTCTCTGGCTCTACCTCTCTCTGAAACTCTGTCTTTCAAATAAATAAAGTAATTCTTTAAAAAAAAAAAAAAAAAGAAGAAGAAGGGTGGGTATTGATCCTAGTGGTTAAGAAATCATGCAGACTCTGGGAGCAGCAATGAGGGCTCAAGTCATTGGATTCCTGCCACCCACATGACAGAAATGGATTGAGTTTCTAGCTCCTGCCTTTGGCCCTGGGTCCATTCCCAGCTGTTATGAGCACTTAGTGAGTGAACCAGCAGATGGACGCGATCTCTCTCTCTTCGTCCATCTCCCCTTTCTCTGTCTCCCCTTTCTCTGTCTATCTCTCTCACCCTCTCAATCAAAAAAAATCAAATTTTAAGTTAATGCTAACTGAAATAAGTAAA